GACAGTGTCGTGATAAGGTTCAGTGATCCATACTGTATGTTTGTCAGGACATCATTATAATTTTATATTGCTGGACTATTCGGGTAGCACAGTGTTGAGGAAAGTGCATTGGATTTGGGGCCAGGAAAACCGGGTGCTAGATACTCTCTAGCTCTATCAGGTAATAGTTGTGTGACTCTTGAAGAAGTCACTTAATGCTCTAAGATTCGGTTTCTCCAACTCTAATGTGTGAGAGAGGCAGGGATTGTTCTACTCTCTTCTTGGTGCTATTCAGAGGGTCAAATGAGATAATGGCTCTTAAAGCTCTCTATTGTCTATAAAGTCCCAGCCACAGTGGGCCACAGTGTTCTTATAAAATTCAGTGTTTAGACAGGATTGAAGTTGTGGGCCCTCCTTCCCCAGAGGTCTTTAAACCTAGAACATCTTCTAGTCCCTATGGCTTTGCCACAGGCTCTCTAAGGGTAGGGAGAATAAAGCAGATCACTTCAAAATGTCGTTCTGCCCCGGGATCCTTAGCACTGTGGATTCCCTCAGAATAGAACAGTCAATGTGATGAAGGTTGTTTCCTTCTTTTCTAAGTTTTGGACAGTTTTCCCTTCAAATGGAATCAAATGAGACACATAAGGCAGGACACTGGGATGTGAGCAAACACCTGCTCGTGGTTTGACTTTTCCCTAAAACGTGTTTTGAGTCCTGTTTTTTTACGTAAGTTAACTTCTTTGGCCCAGCTTCATGTTGTTTCCCTGTTTGTTGAAAGGCACTGGAGATATTGATGTCGTGGGTAGAATGATTCCCTAGAGGACGAAGCTCACTGATTTGTGATCACATCAGGCATTGGGCGGATTCTTTCCTTTGTGGATGACAGATGCCACAAAGGTTCTCTTTGACTTTCCAGAGTGGGAACTATTATTGTCTTGGGTGTAAAGGGTCAGTTTTCCTTCCAGAAAGGTGAGAAACCAGGGAACAGGACAGAGGATGGATTTGCAGATGGAGATTTTCTGGAGAAAAACTAACCCAATATCACTGCCACATCCTCTCACAGCACATCCTCTTTGTGTGGCCTTTTGGTGGCCTGAAGAAGCTACTTGGCTGTTGACCATAGACTCCAAAAATGAAGTGGGAGTGGGGGAAGGAGAATGGAAGAGAATAAACGAAGTTTAGAGTTCAATGGGAAGCAGAACTCTTTTAGCTCACCTGCCCACTGAGTGAGAATCGTGGGGCCCATCTGGGTTGGCCATGGCCACTCACTCCCTGAGTAATAGGCTACCTCCTAACAACCCTGTCCTCAGTCAAGCCAGACGAGCCTTTGGAAAATGAGTTCTTTTTGTGGTAAAATCTTTCTCTTTTAAATTGCACTCCCTGGTTTGCTGTCATTTTAGAGGATTCTAGGCGAAATCTATTTTCTTTCACTTCGCAGTCCTTGAAGTATCTGAAGAAAGTCCTCACGACTTGCCTTCCTTTTCCTCTCTAAATGAAATCTCCCTATTACCTTCAGCCATTCCTTACAGAACATGTATTCTAGACACAGAACCCCGTCCTCTTGTACAATGCAGTTTTCGAAGCTTCCCTTCTCCTATCCTATAGGGTAGAGGGCACCCACCTTTTGTCTGATTCCAAGAATGGGAACTATTTCTCACATAGAGAGTTGAGACTCGAGTGGTGGGTCTTGTGATTGGCTCACTTACTGAAATGACAAACAGGAGCCTTCATTTGTGGACTCGGATGCCCAGACTATGCCTGATTAGTGGCCCTAGGGGGGGCTTCGTGTGCGATGCTTGACATTCTTGAGCCCCGAGATCTCATGAAGATGCCTTTCCAGAGATTTCCAATATACCCAGCCCTGCTGACAACTCCAAGAGAATAAGAATTACCCCCTTGTTCTCAACCAGTCATAAAGGTTTGCTGGCATCTCTCTACTCCTGAAACACCAGGCCAAAATGTCTAACTGGTGGCTTGACTGGCACACTGACTTGCTCTAGCTCCTCTTTCTGGTTCCTCCAGACAAGAGCAATTACAGGTTCCTCAGCTCCCAGAGCTTTCCATCCTCTTCTGAGCTAATATGGCTCCAGGCTGCAGCGAGGAACTCCCAGACACGGAACACAGAATCTGGCCCCAGAGGCTTATAAGACAGAGAAGGAGACACCAAAGGCTGAAATCACTTCCTTGCGTTTCCTTTCATCCTTTCCTGCAGAGTCTGCTTCACCAAAACCCCACCCTTCCTGTGAGACCCTCATCTCAGAACCACCGAGGGCTCCTGCACGCATTCGTAGTTACTGAGCAGAGCGTTGGGGGTGCTGAACGTATGCATAACAGCCTCTGCTGGTGGCTTACAGTACAAGATGGCGCAGCACAGGGTCTGAGCCACGGGTGTCTAGAACGGGAGAGATGTCACATTAAGTGGTAGTTTACAGGAGAGAAACAGGCTTAGAGAACTAAGTGAAGGGCTCAAAGCTGCACAGTGAAGTAAGGGCAGGATTAGGGCTGGAATTCAGTTCTCCTGACTTCCAATCCAAAACTCTCTTTAAGATGATATATGTATCATCATATGTGCCTGTCTGTATTTCTACTTATATACATATGCGTATGCATGGGTGTGTGAAATTTTTATTTGTAGAAAGCTGTATTTCACCCACATGCTCTAATTTGATTCTCACAATCACCCCCTCTGACAGGTAAGGGAGCCGAGGTCTGTCCACATGAGTAAATGGAGGCAACTGGATTCATAGGCAGGCCTTCTGATTCTGGCTCCCTCTTCTTCTGATTGTATAACATTGTTATGATCTCAGTGGCCATTACCCAATCCCTCTTCAGGACCCCTGTGGAATGAAATTCTCTTTTTCCCTGTCCCTCTCCGACATTCTCAACAAAACCATAACACAACTTCTTGCTGCAATGGTGACAAGGTGAGGTACAAGACAGCGGAATTGGAACATACAGCATACGAGTAGCCAGTGCGAGTTACCGCAGTCACCCTGACAGACAGCTAGAGGCAGGAGGCCCCGAGGTGTGGCCAGGTTCTAGTGTCAGGGGAAGAATCCTGGAGGCAGGGGCGCAGAGTGGAGTAAACAGTGTTGGAGGCCCATGCCCTTGGTTGGGGGGGGAACAAACTCATAAAATGATGCTACCCTCTGACTACATCCCCTCCTGTTTCGTGGTTTTGCATTTATACCACTTTTATTATCATCTTAACAAGTGTCTTAGCAACGCATTATCTTAAAAATGCGAGAAGACTCTGCTTTGGAAGAACATCTTAGAGATGTTAGAAAGAAAGCAGTTGAATCCCTCTTCCTCCCCAGCCAGCTAGAGTCCCAAGTTGAGGAAAAGGAAGGCAATGGGTATTTACTGCACACCTCCTACGTGGCAGGAACTTTACTTGGATTATCTTGTTTACTCCTCTCCCCGTGAGATGAAGAAACTGAGACTGTATTATAGAGATTATGTAATCTGCTTCCCTAAGCAAAGTGCCACAGCCAGCAAGTGGCCCAGTAGACTAAGGCATTTGGCCAGTTCCTTCCACACAGTACACATGGTCTTCCCAACATTGGGCAGGCTCAGCTCCTAATCTCTGGCTCCAGAGGACCCTGAACGATCACAGTCACTGCTTGAAGTGTCAGCCCTTCTGCCAGATATGACTTTGCAGGTCACTAGTGAATGGCAGTGGGAAACTTAAACATACTCATGATCCTTAGAAAATCAGACCCAGGATGAGAACTTTAAAGCTGGAAGGGACCCTACCAAACGTAAAGCAACTCTTGAATTTTGCAGATGAGAACACTGAGGCCAAGGGATTAGGACTGAAGGATCCACCCAAGTCAGACGATTACTGAGTGAAGCTGGGGCCAGAACTGGTTCTCCTGCCTAGGATAAAGACCAGGGATTCAGCACACTAGTCATGAATGACTGGTAAATAGAGATGGGATAAAATACTCAAGAGTCTCCTAATACAGGTAGGATTGAGGGGGAAAGAAAAGTACACGTAGCCAGGGAAAAGAGACAGTATGTGAACCAAGACTGAAAATACAGATCTAGGGTGGGCTAAAGAGACTCTCAGTAAGTGACTTCCCAGATTGTGTTTTGTTCCCATTGCGCGTACAGTTGGAAGCCAAATGCAAGCCACCAAGGTTGCTGTGAAACAGCGAACAATTATAGCGCAAATAGTTGTGGGCAGCTGTGGGAATGCAAGCCACCTGCTCCAAGTTTACAGCTTTGTTAAACTTGGTAAACATTAAAAATGGAATAGGAATGCTCCCAGTCTGTACAGTGTCCCATACCCTTCCTGGGAGGCCTTACTCGGGGAGCTGACCAGGCTCTTCTCCCTGTGGCCTAGAGCTGCTTTCTCTTGGTAGAGGTCAGTGTTGTCAACAGTCTCTGGAAGAGACCGAGGGAGGTAGGGAGTATCACAGAATCATATATTTATAGAGTTTGAGGGAATCACAGAGCCCCCAGAATATAATGTCTCTTCTAATGTTCAGATAAGGAAACTTGAGATCCAAGAGGTGATGTGTCCAAAGTTATAAATTTAGGGGTGGAATAGACTCTTGATCTCTGAACTTTGAACGCTTTGTCCCCATGAGGTTCATAGATGCTGACAAACAGGGAGTTATAGCATTACAGAATGTTACAGCTGAAAGGGGCATGGCTATCAACCCCCAGGGTTTTCGGTTGTCACATGACTAGGGGGTGCTATTGGCATTTAGTGGGCAGGGACCCAGGATGCGAATAAGTAGCTTGAAATGAGATCATTCTTCGTAATGAATTGTCTTGCCCAGATACCAAAAATGCCCTTGTTGAGAAATATTTTGTCTGCCATTTGACTTTACAGTTGAGGAATCTAAGAACTGGGGCGGGCTTGACAAAGATCCCAAAGGAAGTCAGCAGTCCCCTGACTCCATCCCACTGAGCCCCCGAGTGAATTAGCAGCAGGAAAGGGACAGCTTATATCCTTCCCCTCCCAGCTCCTGCTGCAATGGCTCTTAAGCTATTTCTTGGTCTGCACTTACTTGGACTTGAGGCCCTCCTGTCCATAGGGCTGCAGCAGATACTGGTGCACGAGCTTATCCCTGAGAGTCCCCGCCAGTTTGATTTTCTTTCTTGACCGGTGCAGGTTGATGATAAAGAGTGTAATGGACCCTCGAACGTAGTTGTGGCTGAGATGGGGAAGGAGAAGGGTACGATGGAAATAAAGTGGTTAGGTGCTGCTAAATAATTTATAGACTGCACCAAACAGGACTGCCCCAGGAAAGGGCACTTATTTTATGATTCTTGGCCACCCCTGACCTTCAAAGACAGGAAGGCCTTGTTATTGTTTGTGGTTTCTTGCAGAGAAGATACCCACTTCCTACCACACTCCTTTTGTTTTTGTTTAAATGTATCACAATGATTTTAGAAAACAAAATATCTTTTTCTGAGTGTGAAAATAAAACATGCTGACTGCAGGGGGAGAAAAAGGAAAAATATGGAGAAATACAAAGAAGAAAAAGAAAATTCTCCCATAATCCAAGTATCTTGAGATATGATAAAATTTTGGTAAACATCCTTCCAGTATTTTTGGTTTATTAATTCAATATTAATTCAAATATTTACTGAGTACTTTGACACATACATATATATTTCTCAGTTTTCATCTAATTGGGACCACATTGTTTTTTCAGTTCGTGAACATCTTAAACATATTTTCATCTTATTATGTTATTGTATTTTCTTCTATTTACAGAAGAATGCTAAATTCTTTAATTATAGAAATGTAACATAATTTATTTAGTTAACCCCCTACCTTTGGAGACTTACACTTTTTTCAAAATTTGCCATAACAAAATTACCTAATGCTATTATATAAACTATTTGCATGTCACCATTATTTCTGATAAAGTCCTGGAAGTTGGACACATTAGGTCTAGGGGAAGGCATATGGCATGATTCCTAACCAAATCTTCTGGTTCATTCCCGGTGATGCCCTTCCCTGTGGGAAGATTTTCTGTCCTTGCTATGTTGAACCCTAGGGATCACATGATTGGTTTTGGCCAGTGAAATGTGGGTGGACATGTTAAAATCTCTGTGCAGAAGTTTTAAGAGGCAGCCTGTGTTTTGCCATGTCTCTTTTCCCTGTGCCGGAAGACCAACGATGTTCTTGACAGAGGTTACTCTATTGACCTGCATCCTGGAACGAAGATGATGTGGAGCAGAGCTACAGCTGAGCCATGACAGGTAAGTGGTATGCATGAGAAATACACTTTCTTATCGAAAGCCATGGAGATTTGTTGGTCCTCCACTATCACGGCATAACCTCACCTATCCTGACTGATACCCACACTTTGCTAACACTGATGTTAACTGCCTAGAAAGCTTGTACCAATTTGCTCTGTTCAGCTATCTATAAGAGCACCCATTTCCTCATACCCTTAAGAATAATGGATATTAACCTTTTAAAATACCTTTATCAACCTGAGAGGTGATAGTGAGATTTCGATGTTGTATTAATTTGTATTTTTTAAAAAATTCATGCTGAGGTGCAGCATTGTTTTCATTTGTCTGTTTGCCATTTCATCTCTTCTTTTGTAAAGTGACTATTCATGTCCTTGGCCCATTTTCTTATTGATTTATAAAAACTATTTATTAAAGGTAGTGATCCTTTGTCTGCAGGTATGTTGCAAAATTTCCCCCAGGTTTCTTTGACCAATTCAGTTTGTTTACATTGTATTCTGACGTATAAAAGTTAAAAACTCTTAGGTAGTCAAATTTATTGATCCTTTTTATTTCTGCTTTTGCTGTTTTACCTACACCAAGATTATAAAACTATTCACATTTTGGAATCCTTTTAAACCAGCACAGGATGTTCAGAAGCCTGGAAGAACTATATGCCTCCATGCAAGAGCCTTTCAGCATGTACCAACAAAACCATAATGATTTCCTTCTTTCTTGTAGGAAAAAAGACTTTGTTTCTAAGGGGTCCCCTAGGGCCCCATCTGGATGGGTTAATGAGAGGAAACAGAAGAAATGACCCAGTCCTACCTTCAAAGGAGGAGTTCAGAGAAACTCTAAGTCAACTTTGCCCAGAGGAAAATATCATTCCTTGCAGAAACAGCATCCCTTAGCCTCTGGGTCACTCACCTCTGCTTCTAAGGGTGTTAATTAAGAGTTGAGTGACTAAGGGCAGGTCAACATGATAACTTGGGTTGTTTTGCTTTTTAATAAAACAGTTGCTAGGACTCATCCTGAGGATTCTGATCCCATCCATTTGTGATGGGGGATAGGAATGTGTGTGTGTGTGTGTGTGTGTGTGTGTGTGTGTGTGTGTGTGTAAATCTTTCTAGGATATTTGGCAGATGAGTTGGGTTTGGAAACCACTAGCCTAGAGCAATCCATTAGGGTTAGGAGAATTCCCAAAGTATATTCCATTGACTGTGTGTCAGATAATTTTTCTTGCATCTGTAGGAGGGCACATTATTATGTTCAAAGGCTTTCTGAATGCCTGCATTGATATTCTGATAAATTATTATATGACTTTTCGCTCTGGTTCCTCCTCCTCTGGTCCTTCTTAATCTTCTGAAGCACATGAAGTAGTTTTTGGAGACAGCTGAGTTAGGTCAGAAGAATGCCCATTTACTGAGCAGACTTGTGTCACCAGAGCTCGGAAGAAAGATGCCGCTAGCCTGTGTCAGCATTTACTGTCATTAAAAGAACACCAACTATATTCCATTGGTGGGCTTTAAGCTTAGCTTTGCTGAGGAAATTGAGCAAAACACCGTTAACTACAGGTACTCTGGGCTTCAGTGTGAGCAAAAGTAGGCATGCATGGGTACCAATTTTGCCAGACTGTGGTGAACTCTTTTGCTAACTACCATCAGATAACCTTCTCAAAGGCCAGCAGTGGAGGAGAGAGAGCCTTGTGCTTGCATTTACGAGTTTTTCCTCTGCAGAGCTGGGGCAGAACTAGCCCTGGGAGACTGCAGAGGAGAAGGGTAGGATGTGGGGAAGTGGTGGGTGGGAGGGAGACCTGAAATCACAGCATTGCGGCAGGGAAAGCTGTCTTTTCAAGCTGCTTGGCAATGGTCTGATTTCCACTTAACATAGTTCCCCTGGGGGAGACAAACCAGTACTGAAAGCCAGCTCAGAGACCCATGAGCAGAGGCTCTCACAGAATTCATGGAGCCTCCTCAGGTAGGAACTGGCATTGAAGACTGCCTCAGCCGTCCCTTCTCCTGCTTGGCTGAGGGGCAAGGATATTAAGCAGAGGTCGTTTGGCTGCAAAGTTACATTCTTGGCTGGGGAGTGTAGCACCAACCTAAAAGTACGGTGTCAAAGATCCAGATTTCTGAAGAATATGTATTCTCTGTCCACAGAAAAATAATCTTGGAGGAGTATCTGTTGCCTAAGAAGATGGGTCTGACTGAAAGCATGGCTAACAGGCAATCACTCATCTTCTGATGTCAAGTCCAGGTGGATTTTGGTTCTCTTAGCAAATGTCCCTTTCTGTCTGGTAACACATCTATCTTACTCCATGTTTCACTCATGGTGAGACTTCTTCTCCAGTAGAGAATCCATGCATCTGGAGTTCATCTTTCTTGCTGTTCTTTTGCTGCCTGACATCTTCTCTGTGATGCCATGGGGGTAGGAGGAAGTAAGTCAGGGAAGGGAGGCTCCAAGTGGAGTATCCTGGATGTTATGAGGTGGGGGACATCATATGTTTTATCTTGACTTCCAGATAAAAAAACAGTCACTGTTCTAGAAATGTCTCCAGTGAAGGTGGGAGACAAGGAAAGGGAATAGAAGATGGTGCTTTGGAATCCATGGTCATTTCCAGTGAAAGTCCATGTGTTTGAGAACTGGGTTGGTCCACTGTCCCCAGATCTAACTCAAATTTTTTGGGTTCGGTAAAAGTCAGGCCATGTTTTGCCAAACATTTTTTCCCCTAATTTCAAAGCCCCTGTGTATTTTAAGGGAAATTTAATCCACATGTTTCTGATTCATTTACACTTAACTCATCAAAATATTGTTTTGTAAGAGTCATTTGATGTCCAAGAAGCCTCAGGAACCTTTTTTATGAGCCTTTAAAAAAATTTCTTCTAAAAAACAGGAAGTCATGTTTTGCCAATAATAAACAAACTTGAACCCCAAAGGCTCAGTTTTGCTTCAGTATCCACCAGGTTCCAATTGGTTCTGAACTTGGCTAAGGACCTCATCTCCTCCCTAGAAACATACATTGTTTCAGCAGAATAGTTTATAAAGACAAAGTTTCCCAGTCAAAACATATTTGTTCTCTGAATAAAAAGATCTGAGGTAAGAACTGCCATGCTGCCGGGCTCCTGACTTGTTGACTCTAGAACAGAAGGCAGCAGAGCACCTGCTGGTGTTGGTTTGCATTTCGAACTTTTGATCCTAAATCAATCATAAAGCACAACACTCTCCTAGGTCAGAAACAAACCACAATGTAAGACAGTGCCATGAAAGGCAGCGAGGTATTCAAATAGAGGTTGCATAACTGCCAAGGAGATTGTAAAAGGAAATTCTGTTGTATTGGACATTGGGCCAAAAGATCTCTAAGGGTTCTTCCCAAGTGTAAAAATCTTTGCATTATTAATGTTGTTATTATTTGCATATAGGGGTGATACCATAAAGCTTTTGGAATTCAGTATGATAATATAAGTGCAGATATCTGGCAAGATGCTTGGCACATAGCAAGTGCTCAATATACACTGGAGTGCAGGAGTTGTTTCAATAGACAGTCTCTCTGGGTTGTTCTACTGGTAAGTTTATACTTTCTCACCCAATCCCTGCTTTGACCAAGGATATATATTTTCAGAGTATTGTCAAGAGTGAACAGTGTGAAGCCAACATACCCACTCTGGGACATTTCTGTGACCTTGAGCTTGTTGACCATGAATAAACTAAGTGAATCAGTAGTGCTTCCTCATGACTGTTGTGAATCATGAGGGGGTGCAGACAGGGCACACAGCTTCCCAGGGAGAAGGAGAAGAGACTCTTGTCCTATCTTTGTGCCTACCTATTTGGGGCACCTGACACCCACAGATGTGGAGGAGACCGGCATCCCCAGCCAGCTCAGTGCATCTGTTGTGGGCTTACTTTTCTAATAGGAACAAAAAGACCTTCCCCTCTGTTATTATCATTACGGCCATATGTGCAAGAGATCAGTCAAGTCTCCTCTTCCTTTTTTAATGGGGAAAAGGGGTGCTACTGACAGAATCGCAGTGGCACCGTTTCCCCAGAGAGGTTCTGAAGTGAATTCCCACAGAAAGCAGAGAGCTGGTGATTAGAGAGCATATTAAATCCAGATGATTTTGATTAACTTGTTTGAGCTCTCCTGCTAGGAAATGGTAGAATTCTTAGCCATTCTACCACACCACCTCCTTCTGGATGATTGCTGATATCAAAGGGGAAGAGAGTGAGAGCTGTAAATCATCTGTGAGGTCTTGATGTCCTATTTCTGCATCCATCCATCCATCCATCCATCCATCCATCCATCCATCCAACATTTGCTGAGATCTTCATGCCAGTCACCATATTAGACACCGAGAATACGAAAATGAATGAGACATTGGCCCTGAGTTCATGGTATGTTCAGAATATTAGTGACAACTCCCCACAAGCATGTCAAAGAATGTGAGGATGAGCAATGGGATGAGACTATGTGAGGAGCCCTCTGTGAGGACACCCAAATCCTGCTAAGCCCATGGCTACTGACATTTTCCCCCTGCTTCCTCAGACCAATAGTATAAAGGGCACAACTGATGTGCTTCCCAACAGAGACAAAAGGTGCCAAGGGTAGTATTTCTTTCTTGAAGCTGGGGGTCCTCCTTTTGAGTGGTTACCTCAGGGCCAGGGAGGAGACAAGGAGTACAATGTATCCTTGTGTGGTGATCAGATAACTCCAGCCAAAGCCATAAAGCAGTCACTCTCTGTCAGGTATTGCATTGAGCTTCCTGTTGAGCAAAAGGGACGTTGAAAGCCTCTGGCCTCGGCCCAAACCAGCCTCCTCTCCTCCACAATAGGCACTTGTATCTACAGACAAGACAACTGGCCCCTGGCCCCACTATATTCAGAGTGATTCTTTGAAAAATCTTATCATGATAAATTAATTGACTTGGCTCCTCTCTCATCAAGGAAGGGGAAGGAGCGTCTGTTGTAACCTGACCACTGGAGCTCTTTGTGCTATCCATTGCCCATGATCAGCCCCTGATAGGCCCACCGGAATGAAGGTCTGGCTGGAGGCACTGGCTTCCTTCTCCCCTCCTCCACCTGCACTAAGAGAAAGAGTTCTTTTTTGGAGCTGCCTACTCTGTTCCTTAAACAGGAAGTGATGTAAGAAAGCCGTATTTGGTCAGATGGGTTTGGCTTTAGGCTCAGTTTTCAATTTTTACCTTCTGATCCTCATGTTTTAAAATTTTATCTGCCTCACTTTATTTATTTAATGGTCATTATTTTTCCTGTTTATTTACAGACAACTTCAATGACAACCAGCGCTTCGGATCAAAAAGGGAAGGATAACCACACATTACCACACTGATTGTTCTAAGTTCAGCCCTGTGAAAAAGGAAGCCTAGACTTTATTTAACCTCATAAGATTTAAAATAGCTGGAAAGGTTTCTGAAATTCTGAAAATGCTTCTAAAGCTGGCGTGACTACCTTTGGGCTTTCCAGCTTGGGACACCCAGGTCTAGGGCTAGGTTTCTAGTGGGAGAGCTCTCCAGCACACACCTTAGAAAGGTAGACTTGTTTCCTCAAGCTCAGCTGCTGGATCATAGGAACAAATTTTATATCTCTAGCTTGGTTCAGGGGTGTAGGTACACACAAAAGCCTCATGGGCATTATATCAACTGGCACAGAGAAAATGCTCCATAAAAATTTGTTGGATGAAGAAGTAAATGAACAAATGGCATGTGTGTTTGTGAACTTTTTGTGCATCAGCCCTCTGAGAGTGAGAAAACGGTTTCACTTGGAGAAAAAGCTATTTATCAGAGGTCCTTTGAAACCTGCCAAGAGCAGGTATCATGATTCCAGAAGCAGTTTACAGTCAGTCTTAACAAGGGTCCCAAAGGTATGGAATTCTAGGAGGGGCCTGAAGCCTGAAGCCCCTCGGGAGTGGCTTCCTGTGAGATCTCTCTGAAGACTTACTTGCGGTGGTTTGTGCAGTGTGCATAAATCCTTAGTTTGTCCCGGATCACTCGGCCTGGCCGTGGCTTCCGTTGGAGCCCGGCCACATGCACAGCCAAGACTTTGGGGCCGATCAGGCGCTTGTAAAGGAGAGAGAGCCAGTAGTCCTGAGGAGAATAGAGAGGTGGAAAGTCAGAGAAAGAAGCATGTTGAGTATCTTGAGTAAACATACCAACACACAGGCCAGAAGCCACTTCTTACCAGGGGTACAGTGAATCATGACTAAAGAGACCCTAATCTTGTAAGCCTGCCAACCCAATCAAGTGCTCACCTCGGGTTAATAACGAAATGGGCACTGTCTAAAGTGGCCTTTTCAACTGACCAAATAGGGAAATTTAAGTAGGGTGGACTCAGACGGGCGTGAAATACAAATGGATCAAAGTTTTTCACATATGAAATAATAACCTGTCAGGGCCTTACATTTTTGACTTTCTTTTCCTATGACTTTACTTTCATACTAGTTTATGACTTGTGTTTAACTGTAGAGTAGATTTCCAATCTTTAGGATTGTCATCAATATAAGAATCCAAATGTCATCCCCCAAATATTGTCACTAAAGACTATTAGTGTGATGGGAGGGGGATGAAGGTCCTCCAGGCAAGAGACCAGGGTCCCTGACTATTCCATAGTCAGAAACACAGAAGAAGGTTTGCAAACCATGGTGCTATTCCTTGGTCATCCTCAATAATTCTAAAATAAAAAGAATAATTCTAAACTAAAAGAATGTGATGCTTTTAACCATTCTGGCATCCATTTGTAACTGATTCATAAATATTCAATCTGTGACCCACACATGTACTTGAACTTACAAAAGCCTATTCACTGCCATCTTAATTTCTATGGTATTTGCTATTATCATATTTTATTTTTATACTTGATACAAGATATATTATGTATTTGTTTTGCATTTGTTCTTATATCTGATTATGGGGTAATGACTTCAGTGTTTATAATTCTCCATGTAAAAAAGGGCTTCCTAATTTGTTTGGGGGCTTCCTCCCTCCCCCCAATTTTGGAATTCCATAATCATGCCATTCAGTGTGGGCATGCTACTCAAGGTCTTAAAGACATCATGCATGTTTTCTCAGCCTTCATCTTTCCAGGCAGAAACCTTTTAATGATCTTCTTTTTTTTCCCCTTGTGTGGTCATCTATAACATGAGCTGCTTAAAAATGTCTGTTGAATTGCATAAATCACAACAAAGTCTCAAAGCCCCTTTGCCAGCTGAATAGCTCTAAATCTGCCCTGAGTAGTGAGCTCTAAGCCTTGCCCAGCCACCTACCTTAATTAACTCTAAGTGTCCTCGGAATGGCTGTTAAATATGGTCTCCTAATATTTAAAATGCCAGAAATTTTATCACCGTCAATCATATAAATGAAAAAAATCGCGTTGGTTCAATTTGCTCTTATTCAATGACACTTTCTCTATTTTTGATTTGAAGTAAACTTGGTGAAGTGATTATCACAGTCATTCCTGTTTCCAATGGGATATCCACCTTTTTCTTATTGATTTGTAATACATCTTTTAATATTATTGGTAAGAATCTTTGGAATATATATTGAACAAATATATTCCATCCAAGTCTGTAGTTTACTTGTTACCACCGTTTATGATTTTTTGACATGAAAATTAAAAAAAAATTTTATAGAAAAATATATCCTCTTTTTCCTTTTGATTTCTTTCACTTCTTTTATTCTTAGAAAGTCCTTCCTCACACGCAGATCAGATCAATCTTCACTGGTATTTCTTCTAGTTCTTTTTATATAATCATTTAAAAGCCTAACTTCTTACTTCATTGAAAACTATTTAGCTGTATGGTACTAATTATTTTCTAAATTATTGTACAACTAGTTGTAGCATCATACAGTTGATAACCTATTCTTAAACATATCTTTATCACATACCAAGTTTTATATATGTATGTAAAAACACATAAATATATACTACATATTATAACATTATAATATGTAATATAACATATTGTATATTATCAGTTTTACATCATTTTCTTTATTGTAGTTTACATTTTAATATCTAGAGATTCAAGTTCATTTCATTTATAATTTTTCCTTCTTTGTTCAAACTTTCTTTAATTAGTCATATCCATTTATTTTTCCAAATGAACTTTGAAATCATGTTTTTGTCGTGTTTGTTGCTGCAGAGAAATTTGAGGCTAGTGTGAATTTTATTCTGTTTGGTTAGCCTGTTTATTTTCTATCTTTTGTATTCTGCCAGAATGCTTATAGAAGTCATGTTTTATCCTTGATATTTGAAGTTTTATCAGAAATGTGTCAATGTGGGTTTCTGCATTAATTTGCTGATATTTGGGGAGTACTTTTGACCAGAAACACTAAGGTCTTTTTTTAAGGTGAGAATTCTCTTTAAATATAGTTTTGAGTTCTTTTTCTTTCTGTTTGCTCCACTCATTGTTTCAGGAGTCTGGTTGTGAGCCCTCCATCCTGGGGCCTGCACATCTATCATCTCCTTTCTCATCACTTTTCAATCTTTTTGTTTTCCCTCTGCAACAGGACATCTCAAGTTTGTCCTCTACACTTCCTCCAGGATCATTTCTGTCATTTACTAAGTCCAATGAGTATTTTAATTGTTATTACAATTTTCCTTTCCTTGTAATCTTTTCTCATTTAGCTTACCTGATTGCCTGGCACTCATTTAAAAATTATTTTCCATTTTATGTGTATTATGTATATGTTTTCCATATATATATATATGACAAATATTTTTAACAAATTTTCACGTATATATAACTTACATGAGAGTTCTGAAGCATATGAGAGCCAGCCACCCACCTGAAAAGCTACCTTAACACCACATGGCAGCATCTAGTTATGTGATTCTTCCCTTTCCCATTTCTGTGTTTTCCATTCCCTTGCTCCATATTTTAGTTTTATCCATACATTTGTTCCTAAGAAATATATTATTAATTTGTTAGCTTTATAAAAGTGGTATCATGCTGAACGTAATTTTCTGTGAGTCACTTTTTTCACTTAACATTATGCTTCTAAGATTTATCCAGGTTGTTATCTGTACTTACTGTTCATTCATTTTCAATATTGTAGGATACTTTATTGTGTGAACATCCTACAGTTTGTTTATCCATTCTTCTGTTGATGGATATTTGGGTTGTGTCCAGATTTTTGCTGTTATGAACAATGTGACTCTGAATATTCTTATTCCTGTTTCCCAAGACACAAGTGAAGAAATCTGGAGAAGAATTGCTCCAACTGTGACTGGAAACCAGCAGCAGCCTCAGCAGCAGCGTGCTTCTCAGAAATACACGTTCATAGACTTTATCCCAGACCTACTGAATCAGAATCTCCAGGGGTGGGGCTCCCAGGTTGTGTGAGTTTCTAAGTGAGTCCGATGTTCATTAAAGTTAGAGAAGCACTGTTCTAGAGTACATACCTAAGGGTGGAATTGCTGTGTCATACACGAGTAGACAAATATTCAACTTCAGGATACTGCCAAACTGTTTTCCAAAGTGATTTCAATTATTCCAACTTACACTTCCTCTAGCAGCGTCTGCATGAGTTCCCTTTGATCAACATCCTTGCCAACACCTGTTATTTTCTGACTGAATTTTTGCCAATCCAGTGGGCACAAAATGTCTAGTTCTTTTTGTGTGTTGTTTAAGAAGTCCTTCCTCAGGTCCAGTTCATAGATATTTTATTTTCTTTTATAACTTTTGAAGGTTTTTTTTCCCCCTCTAATCATTAAATCTTTAATCAACCTGGAATTGATCTGCTGGTATGGTGTGTGAGGTAGGTATCTAGCTTCATATTTTTCCATGTGGATAGTCAGTTATACCAGCATCATTTACTAAATAGTCTCTTCTTTCTTTGGCGATCTGCAGTGTCCTCTGTGTCCTCTATCAAACTTCCATATGTTCATGGGTTTGTTTCAGGCCTCTCTACTCTGTCCCACTGTGCTGTCCTGTATCACTGCTACACTGTTTTAATTACCATTGTTTTACATATGTCTTGAAGTCTGGTAGAGCAACCCCTCTTATCTTATTCTTCAGGAATGGTTTTGCTAATCTTGGGCCTTTGCTCAGGCACAGACATTTCAGAATCAGATTATTAAGTCTCTAAACAAAATCTGCTGGGACTTTGGAATTTCACTGAATTTATAGCTCAAATGAGAAGAGTTTACATTTTTATAATATTAAGTCTTCTCATATAAATACAAAAGGAAGTGAGAAGTAAACTCTTTCCAGTCGGAATCTTTTTTCTTTCTTTGCTTCTTTCTTTGTTTCTTTGTTTCTGTCCTTCTTTCAAAGTTCGCAATCTAATTTTTCTTCCATTAAGAAAGTATCCTAGATCTTTCACAATGAAAACAAATCTTGAAAGGAGGAGAAAACAAGGAAATGTTTTCTGTTCAGAGACTGAAATCAGGAAACATTTTATTTTTAGGAGTTTTCTGTTAACCATTTAGTAGTAAGCATAGCAACAAGGAGAGTCTGGTGTTAAGCCCCGAACTTGCTCTGTCGGCAGATTCACTGATTTTCCATTTCTAGGGAAAGGACTTTCAAAGAGCTTCTACATTATTTTTCTCCTTTTCTTTTTCCTCTGCTTATCCTTCTGGTATTCTATGCAAACTATTTGTGATGATCTCTTTACTTCCATTTCCAAAAGTGTCCATAGATGGACAAGAGCCTTCATTTCCCCATCTTCCACCCCGCCCCACCCCACCCCACCTCCTGGAATTCAAGGATAGTGTGCCCAGGTAAAGCACGTGATCTAGGCAATAGTTGTGTGTTTCTCAGATGTTGTAGGCAAATGTTTGCTTTTTAAAAAAAAAATGTTTGCATTTAGCTCATGGATATGTTGTTTAAGTGTACATACATTCGTATGTATGTATGATAACGTCGTGTGTATAAGCAATAGGTTGATAAACATGAAACTTAGGATAACGGTCACCTTGGGTGGGGCAGGAGGAACTGGGGGAATGGCATAATGGGAGAATGTAAGGTTGATGGGAGTGTCTTAGTTTTGGAGTTGGGTGGTGGAGTCGTCACGGGTGTTGTTACTGTTTTGCTTTCAAAGTAACATATAGGCATAGATAATCTTTTGAATGTGTCAAATAAGAT